ATCAACAATGTGTATCACATCAGGTGATATTTTTTTGGCTATATCTGTACCGATCTATGGGAAGGTGGGATGATCTAAATTTCTATCTCTGTATTTTAGATCATATTTTACAAAACATTATTTTTTAATTATTGAATGAACCTCTTCAATTAATGTGTCTTTATAATATTGTCGATCAAAAACATAAGATTGACATGAATCCATTGATTGATTATTGAAAGGTGTTGATCGAATAAAGCATCGTTGACATTCTTTTAATGATATTGAGTTTTTATTTAATAAACATTGTTCTTTTGTTGGTCGATATTCTTCATTGAATATAGAATTTGATGTTTGACTATATGAATCATTTAACCATTGAGATGGATTTCGACAACGAAAATTTGGTGTTGCGGCTGTAAATGAATATGTATAAACCATAATTGGTGGTAGCATATATGTTAAACATATAATTGTATATTTTACTTTTTGAAATCTTCCCCAATCATTTATTATTATTAGAAAATCATCAAACTTCATTTTTGAAAGTTTTTCTTTTTTGTAATATTAATATAACATAGAATTTAACTTTGCATGTGAAAATAAATTGAGAAGAAGAAAAAAAATAGATTAAAATTTGATACACTATTTTCATCATTACATTTATCTTATCAATTCAAATGAAGCATAAATTGGATTGAAGAAGAAAAAGAAAAACCAACTAAAGAAAAATTGTACCGAAATCGACATAAACATTTCATAAGATAATAAAATTTAGATAGTCAAATAACGAACATCAATAATCTTTCGATCTGATTGTAACTTTAAAAGTTTAATTGACAAATTTTTTTTAGAAACAATTTCATTTTATTCATTATTCTTTTCTATCATAAAAATATTCATTATTAAGAGGGGTTACTCGTTTTAATCAATTTACTCGGTAAACTTAACGAGTTTTATCGCGTTCAAAGGTAGAAAAGCATATTTACCAAGAAAGATTGACTAAGAAAATGTATTTTTTTTGTACATATTTTCTGGGACGTGTTCCACTGACATAAGTTCAATAATGTTCTTGTTACTTCCTGTTTTTTTTAAGTAAATCAACACATTTAAATGGATTTATCTATAGAGATTCATTAAATTACAAAATCTTTTGTCCTATAACTTACTTTTATATAAGGATGTGAGTGTTGGAGAAGGAAAAATCTACATCCACACCTAACAACATCTATACGATGTACTGCGACTTCCAAAAAAAATAGATTGTGAAAGACTGTTACTACAAAGCACGTCGTCTATATGTCAACATAGGCAAGTGCTTAAAGTCTGAAATTGCTTTCAAGTTGTAGAGTGTTTCAAAGATCGTTCAAGAAAAACATTAGTTCAAACTTCTTTTTCTTCACGAAGATCTGATCTTTTGAAACTATATTGACATTTGAAGCGAAGCTTTGTGCACCAACAGTATTTATAGTACTTCGTGTATCTAATGAACTCAGAAAAAACAGTTCTATTAAAGTTTCAGATATAGTCTTGTAGCTCATGAAAAACTTTACATGGTCTAATATTTTTTCTTAAAATTACTTGCCGGTAAAGGTATAACGTCTTTTAACGATTGCGGTGCAATCATCTCTGAAAATAGTTACCATCTGTTTTCCTATCAAATTTTAATGATAACAATCAAGTTGATAGAATTTTATATTTAAGCTAACAAGTTTGGCTTAAAACATTTTATATAAAAATGCAATGAAAACAAAAAATCCTGAAATTTACAGTCGACTTTTTAGGAGTTTTAAAAAATTGAATACATTTTTCTTACATGTACACACATTAAAATCTGCAATATTTGTTGTTTTAGACTAGAAACAATGCTCTATTGAACTAAAAAAATATTAGATTTCTATCACGTTCCATTCAAATACAATGGAGTCTATAACATTGGTACAAGAACTTTGCGCCACCCGTTATATATGTTTTCATGAACGAAACGAATAAAGTTTATGAACGGCAGTGAAGATTCAAACATGATAGTATAAAATTATATCTCGTTATTGAAATTAATGATGGTATGACGACAGTTTTTGCCTTATATCCTGAAGAACCATTATGCATGAAATAATCGATACACAAACTAACTAAATTGTTCATTGTCCAAGAATATTTCTGGATAATGAGTATGAACAAATTAAAATAAAAAACAATATTATTTCAACAATCAATAAATTTGATAAGATAGTTTCACAAAGAAACTGTAAAAATTGAATATGTTACATTATTTCTCTGTGTTACATGTCTAAAAGTTATGGTGGATACCAGAGCGCGAAACGGATGAGAAAATCTTCAATCGGTTCGATTCGACCATTACTAAGAGTAGAAATAATGCTACTTTTTTCGTATATCTTATTTGATATAAATGTTCTGCCCTTTTCATCGTCAGATATTTATTCTATTATTTTCCTCTGCTTTTGTATATGTGGTATTGCCATACATATTTTATGATCATTTTGTTTTGTAATATCATCCGTATGTAAGAAAACAGATTTTTCAGAATAAAATTGCTTGTAAAACTTCTACGCCGATCGTTCCTAGAAATAAAATTGTACTTCATGCTTCAACAGTCGAAATTTCACAACATGAGTGCATGTCTCAAAATTGAATCAGCAAGAACCAATCGCTAAGAAAATTAACCAAAACATTTTACAAAAAAAAAACAAAGAAGCTCAGGTGTGGGTGTGACTGCATATGAGAACTTAAACAACTTTGAGTAAAACTGTATTAAATAGCATCTTAGAATGATTGCGAACATGCAAGAGTAGATATCTTGATCATATGGTTCAATGGTCTAAACGATCGATACGTGACACATTGTAGGCATGTTCAAATCTAACCGTCATCCTTACATATTTACATTTAGATTAGTCCGGACTCGTTCACTACATCAGGCTGCAACTCGTCCTATGTACGTCGCTGGCGCCCTTCCTTTTTCAATTATAAATCATTTTTGGACGGGTGCCCCTATCACTCGTCCCGACTAGTCTTTGTCTCAAAACGTCCTCGTTCAGGAACAATCTGTGCACTAGATAATAATTTTTTATGTATTAACCAACTTTAAAGCAGTCCTATACTGATCTTTCTGGGAAAAAAGATTAGACTAGCCATATACAATGACGTCAGTCAAGCGTGTGGTCAAGACGGATTTAATAGCGCGCAAAAATTTCGTACTACTCATGTTAGAATACTTTTTGAGACAAAGATTAGTCGGGATGGATCGATGTGACTAGAAAGTGAACTAAACAATTAGTTCATGTTAGCATCCATAGATGGCGCAGAATGGCGCTAATTACATACTCGTTTATTATTATTGTTGTTTGAGTTCTCCTTGATCTTTTCTGATCTTTCGATCTTGATCAATCAATCATGGTCTTCTTTTTATTGCTGTTATTCAGTTGCTGTTTTTTTCATTCATACCTCTCACATCCTCATCTTTATTATTACTATTTTTCGTCGTTATCATTATTGATTTTTCTATTATTGTTATCTTCATTATCATCATTCATGTCCAGTTATACGTTCCATTTGTGTATTTAATAAAACATATTACTTTGTTACATCCCGTGAACATTATCTCGACATCATACAACACTATTCAGGTAGGTAGTTTTTCATGGTGAACTCTCTTCTTTTGAACAGACACAAGTTCTGAACTATTATTATTGAGCTCACGTAAACCATGAAGTACCAGGGCTTAATAAAGCTCACTGAGGGTCTCACAATCCGTCGCTTGCTTACCTAGGAACCAACTATCTATCCACACCCGCACCCGTTACATCGAACGGTATTTTCAAACAGAGCTTCGTAATGCTTCTTATACTTCAGTGATGTGAGTCACGCCCATTTATTTCTTTTATATCAATTATTTACTTTGTCCTGAAGAAAAAAAAAATATCGTGCCTCAAAACAAAGCATTCGTACTGAATTTATATCAATCGGCTAAATGTTTCAGTCAAATGTAATTTTACGCTATTACCAGACACACCCATTTTTATTCAAGTTTCAATCTTATTTCGATCAAGTATGTTTTGTGAAGTACTGGTGAAGACCTTCCTATTCACAAGCAACGTCATTTTTCGTCACTGCTGCCATATTTGCGTAATAAAAATGGATAAGGACAAAATAAAAAGACAGAGCAACCTTTTTTTACTGTCTTTTTATTATAAAAAGCCTATAGATGAATAGAAATACTGCTCAAAGCTAGTCTCTTCAGATGAATTTGAGAAATGATTAATGGGATAAATACTAATCGTGACACTGATTCTTGTATGCTAATATAAAAAAGACCTTTGGTTGCAACTCAATCTCTTTCTTTTTATTTCATTGGCTTCTTGCTAGAGTCTGAAATAGAATAGGTTCGGTTGCTCTTATATAGTCTCCTATTCAATCAACATGAAGAAAGAGTTACTTGTCAACAAAAAAAACAAATCAATATGAATAATAGAATGCAAAAGGTGATGTCTTGATTTGCAAAATCGAAAACTAGCTTAAAAACGTGAAAATATTCTACCACGTCATAAGCTCCATGCAAGGTACCATTCGATGCTAAATGTTTTTAGACAGTTTCAATTAATGACATATGAGTCTGTCTCATTCTGTATTTCAGTACAGACGATTTCAGAGACTTTTAGTCACAATGGATTCGATGCGAATTTCTTGATTGCATAGCTAGCAGATCAATATTTTCGCTTATTACATTACGCTTGAGTAAAACTACATGCAAAAACATATGACATGTTGCAATAAGTATGATTTATCTGACATTTTACCTTGAATTACATCTTTGGATTTTGCTCCCTGTCGCTAAGAGAATCGAGTTTTTTTTCTTTTTGTTAGGTGGTATTTACAGAAGCATTTCTTGACAATGCAACAGCAAAGCAACATCCTGAGAAGCTCGATATTTTAATTATAACGATTAAAAAATTGCTTATTTATTCTTCTGCTTTGATCGCAAGCAGTACAGAATAAAAAAAATGGAACAGTTGCGCACACCAACAACGCCCTGTCGACCAAGAGTAACGCGTGTAAGCAAGTCGGAGTTGAAATCGATCCGTAATATTCATAACGTCGATTGTCCAGTTTCTTCAACATCTTCTCGTCAACATACCCGCTGTCTGAGTGAACAAAAAGACCTCTCAACTTCGACGAGTCACCCTCGGATCACGACGGTTCCATGTCAGACTCAGATTCCATATAAAAAAAGAGCAAGATTGGCATCAATTTTCAATGTTAATGTTTCTGAATCTCGCTGTGCTCGGACACCCTATCGGATTTATATCAAACGTTTAAACAAAGGGGAAACTAGTTTCACGCAAGATGCTACCCGTATCAATTTTCGAATTTCTCCGGTAAGTGCCATTAAACGAGCAAAATCTATCTTGATTGTATTGTTATCATTGACTACTAGCCCACAATCAGGTATTCCAATAGCAAACAGAATAGAATTTCACCAGAAACTGCTGATGCTTGGACAAGAACAAAGGAAGAATCAAAAAGGAAGCGTAAAAGGTATATGACAATTTATAGCACTCTCGTGGTGAATCATTATTCAATAACTCATTCACAACTTCTAGTTTGGCAGACTCTAGCAGATTGTGAACAATGTACTAGCTATATATTATGTTGTTTCTATTTAGAAAACGATTGATAGGGGCTTCACCTTGGCCATGCTGTTGCTTATGCATGCTTATAGCGCTTCTGCTAATTGCAATTGCTGGACTTATCTTTGCTTTTGCATTACGTTCGTATTAGATTGTCTTATGCGTGTCCTCGTGTATGATTGTACTTTAATAATAGGAACAACAACAACAACAACAACGACCACAACTACAACTTCAACAACAACCACAACAACAACAACAACAACGACCACAACTACAACTTCAACAACAACAACCACAACTACAACTACAACAACATCGTCTACATCCTCAACCACAGCAAGTAAGTTTCGGTTACGTAATAGGAATGTGTCTTTCAACAAAACCATCTTTCCATTGGCTAAATTCTCCATTGATTAATTCTATCGTATTCCAAAAAGATTTTCGTCCAAATTTTTCAGACTGATTACGCCAAAAATATATACGTCAATGATACCATATCGATCTTTCTAGCTACAACGTCAACAACAACGACATCAACTACGACATCAACTACGAGCAGTACTACTTCGACATCAAGTAGTAGCAGTTCCTCGACCACTACAAGTACAAGCACGACATCTAGAACGACAACAACGGCGTCAACATCGAGTGAGTGAGACATATTTGCATGCATACTGAGTCAATAACTAATATTTTTAGCCACCAGATCAACCACGTCTGCCACCACCACAAGTATGTTTCGTTCACTACAACTCCAAAGTCAATGGATGTCACTGAGTGTTGAAAGCTTTTCTCCTCGTTTTAATCGAATTTAAGATAGTATAATGAATATTTCTTTTAGCCCAAACGACAACGACCACGACCAGATCGACCACGAGTACGTTTCTAATTTCAGATTTTACTCAGAAACGATCGATTAAATGTTGATTTCTAGCTCCATTATGTACTAGTTCTGGTGCTGGTTACGGATCGTTACTACTACAGATTGGAGCTGTACCGAGTTCGTGGACTCAATCAACATATACGTATACAGCGATCTATACCGATCCATTGCTCCTATTTGGAATCGAGACCGGAAATAGTAATTATCATTACTTGGATAGTGTATCTGTGGTAGATGCTGCTTCGCCGTCTGTCCAACTCCTCAACAATCCCAGTTTCGAAAGCGCCACCGGCTCTTTTCCAGGTTGGACTCAGTGGTGCGCATCATCGTGCACTACTAGTAATGGCAATGCGGCACAGCAAGCTTCTACTTTTTCTTGCCATCTGTCTACAGGAAAATGCCTTGAAGTGATGTGCGAAGGTTCTGGAATCTTTTTCATCGGACAATCTTTTCCAGCAATTATCGGACACACATACACAATTTCATTTTGGCAACAACATTCTGGATCGGGCTCAGGGAATGAGTTCTATGTTGATGTTGAATGAAAGAGACTCTCATCATTTTTTTTGTCGAAATAACATTCACAACGTTTTTATTATAGTTTTTCAATGCTGCACGATGGACTTTGATAGTATCATTGATTTTCCATTTTTTTTTATCGATTTTCAAAAGCAATTGTGATTCTTCTTTCACTTTCAGACACTTTAGTAAGAGAACACTGCGCAAGAGTGTGGGTGATCTGTGAGAAGTGAAGAAAAATGACTTGAAATCAGTATTGAAATCAACTACTGCATTTTCTAAAGTCTAAAACTCGATACTAAACTTAACTCAAGATTGTCTTTTATTTCACCATACATTCATTTTTGTCTATACTTTTTTAATTCATTTTTTAATAGCGTATTTGCATTTCTACAAGGTTTTATTTTGTGGAACTTTTTTTCTTTTTCTCACAAAAAGTGAAATGTCAACAGTTGAACGTCTTAATGAGTGACTGTAGCGCAAAGAATAAATAGAACTTTTTTTGTCAATATTGAAGAGAAATGCGACAGCCCATAAAGTTGTTTGATGAGCAAGAAAATGTCTCATTATAGCATTGAAAACGTGATAGAGTCATTTAATTCGAAATAGGTTTTTATACAATCGTTTGATATATCAAGAATTGGCTAAGTTGTATTTTGAAAAAGTAAGTTTTGTCTGACAGTGTGCTGGTTCTCAAAACGGCACATTCTTAGTCATCTACTATAGGCATTATCCAATAGTAGAACTAGCTTGATTCATCATTTTGATCGTTCCAGATAATCAAGATGGTCTCAGTAGATGCAAATGAGGTTCATAGTGACAATTCAATACCACGACCAACTGCGATTATTCGAGAATTCAACTTGATCATGTCCACGCACGGTATTTCGGCCATTACTCACAATCAAAGTGTACATAATAGAATCTTCTAGACTATCGTTTTTTTAATTTTTCCAGTATTATGTTCTTTTCATCATTCAATCAATGAGAGTGTTTTTCCAATATTTCCCTCAGACTACCGTGAATATTGCCACAGAATGGTCACAAGCATTTCCGGTTTTTACCATATGTAATCTTTCACCGATACATTTTGATCAATCTATCGAATCATTTTTGAACTATACTAATAGTTTCAATAAGGTAAACATCAACGATACAAGTTCATTTTCGAATCTTCAAGCATCATATGTATTGAAATTTCTTCCGAAGAAACTCGACTGTAACGAAGAAATCTCTAATTATTTCTCTTCGCTCAAATCGTTGTTGTTTTTGTCGTTACAACGGAATGCTATGTTTGATCAAGGTTTTCATCACCTGTACATCATCGAAGTATGTAAATATATGGCTGTGGGTATCCTCTTCAACCTACACACTCACCGACACCCATACGCATACTCTACACCCACATCCTTATTTTACGAAAAGGCAAAACTGTTTCTTACACTTACAATTCGAGAGAAATTTGCGTCGCTATTCAGAGATAGAACTGATAGATTGATTCTGTCGCTATCAGTATCTACAGAAAATACTCCTGCCCTATGCTTTTGAGGGTCAAATGAGTCAAAGCAACCAACGTTACTTGTTGTCTTTCAGGATTTTCCACTATATCTATTCTATATGATCAATGATAAAAAACTGTTCAAAGAATTTTCTTGAGTAGATACCGATTGAATTCTTCCCTGTTAACAGTGGTTACATGAATTTCAGCCCAAGCTTTTGTCTCGAGCTCAAATTCCACCTATTAAGGTCCCTAAAAACTCGAAATCTAACGAAAAGTTGATACAACTTGTTGTACACAGTGGATGTGGGTGCGGGTAGGGGTGCGAGTGAATATGGATGTGATTGCCCCTGCTACGAAATATTATGGAAAACTTACACCCGTTCACACTCACAGCCATACTCGCACCCTCACCGATACCTACATCGTACATCCAACAATTTGGGGACACAGGTGGTATAAAGTGAATCATACAAAAGATTTGTGGAATGACTCTAAACAATAGATAGGGTCATTTTTCATGGTATCCTGCATAGCTAAAAAGGGATGAGTGTAGCGCAATTTCTGTGTATATTTTGATACAGTAAATATGAATTTCAAAATGTGAATAAAACAATCAGTTGTGAAAATAAGTGGATGCGCTAGCAGACAAATTGAATTTAGTATCTACTGTTGTAATTTTGAGCATTATTGTATGTTTTGTTGCCATCTTCTTCGACAATAACCACGTTTACATCCTTCACACAGTTCTGCTATATGAGCAGGCATTTGAAACGGTCTTTTGCGGAGTTTTCCGACACGTCGATAGTTGTAAATTAATTCCATAATTTTTTTAGAGAGAAACTGAATTGCACGTATTACTCCATCTGAATCATAGTGCGGATCATAGAACGGGCGCTGATCATTGGGTTCCTCACATTCTCTGCATTGCTCTCCCGATTGTTTCATTGCAACTCGACCAATATCGTGCTCATCAATGCGACATTGAAACAAAATGGTATGAAAAGAGGACCATTCTTTCGCGCATTTTTCACAGCGAAACATATTATGAAAAGGTGCAAACATTAGTTTGTTTCAAGTTCTTAGTAAGATCTATATAAGACTCTGATGTGAAAAAATTTCAAAAAGAACGTCGTAGTATGTCCATATTTCTCAAGACATTAGCGAACCACCGACTTTGTGAATAAAACTTAGCGATTCTCACCTTCCAGAAATGAATGACTCAATAGGTTCGCATTCTGGATTATCCAAATTTACATCTGGAAGTCGCTTAAATGTCCACAGATGTGGTACGCCATAATCGCCATACATGCAGTTGTAAAACTCACTTCGAAAAGCATTAAAGGTCATGTCCCGAAGCTTGATTTCGTATTCTTATATTAACATAGTGAAGACCAATAACATTTATGATATATTTTTAAGAGGCAGAGATAAGAGAACGTACGAAATCAAAAGGTGAAAACACAATGCACTATTTTTTAGTCTAACCAAAAACAAAGAAACGCATCAAGGTATTAGATAAAGGTCGCTGATAGAGTTGAGTGGTACGCCTTATCTATTTGGCTCTATGCTTTTTCATTGTCTATTTCCATATTTTCACTCGAAAATAACTCGAATCGGCTGAGAAAACGATAGAAGTGTGTGTGAACTGTGGTTGGTGTGAACGTGGGTCCTAGTGATGGCATGCTGGTATAGGTGTGGCTCTCATTTTAATCAACAGTCATGGTCACAGCCCAAATCAAGCGACAATCCATACCCACATCACACTCACGCACACTGACATACAAAATACATTAACACCCACATCCTCAAACCCACATTCCACACTAATACCAACACCAACACCCACATCTATTTCCACACCCACTCACACCTCATCCACACCAACAGCCGCACCCATTCACATCTACATCCACACCCTATTCAATTGTTAAAGCTTAGAGATGTACCAAACCAGCATTTCACTTCGAGTTTTGATACCGAGCTTTATGAGATTGAGCTCGATTTTAATTCGAACTTGGAAACTCGATTGAGCTCGAACTCGAAAACAGACAGTCGAACTCGATCGAGCTCAAACTCCCAGAGTTCGAACTCGATCGAGCTTAAACACCCAGAGCTCGAACTCGATCGAGCTCAAACCCTGAACGCTCGAACTCGATCGAGCTCAAACTCTGAAAGCTCGAACTCGATCGAGCTCAAACCTGAAAAGCTGGAACTCGATCGAGCTCAAACTTCAAAGGCTCGAGCTTCAATTGTGTTCGAGTTCCATGAATCAAGTTTCGATTGAGCTCAGTGATGGCTAAGGATGTGGGGGTTGGTGTGTGAGGCTCAACCAAAGGTAATTGGGGTCCAGGAATGCGAATCCCCAATTAGTTTTTCAAAATTTTGAACTTGATTTTTTTCGTAAAACGAAGGCTTTTTCAAGAAAACAACATTTTGTTACACGGCTTAACCGAAGGTAATCGAGGTCGAGGAATCTGAATCTAAAATGAGTTTTTCGAAATTTTGAAATTGACTTTTTTCATAAAAGAAAGATTTTTTCAAGAAAATAACTCTTTTTTTATAAGGCTTAACCGAAGATAATCCAGGTCGGTAAATCCGAATCTGAAGCCAATCTCGCAAAATTTTGGGTTTGGTTTTCCACTTGAAAAGAGCTTATTTACTGGAAAATATTGCTTTCTCTAGAAGGAGCTTTTTAATGAAGGAATAATCCTACACTGGAAGCAACTTTTTCATTTAAAAACTTCTTTTTTTCGAAGAAAAACGATTCTTTTAGCAAAAGGAATAGTTTAAGCGTTAGAACGAGACTTGTTGCTAACCAAGTGCTTTTAGGAAAAAGAGCCAAGTTCAAAATTTCGAAAAACTAATTTTAGATTCAGATTCCTCGACTTCGATCATATTCGGTTAAGCCTTATGAAAAAAATGTTATTTTCTTAAAAAAGCCTTTGTTTTACGAAAAAAATCAAGTTCAAAATTTTGAAAAACTAAT